CTTGGTCAATTAAACAAACGCAATTTACTGCGCTAGAAGAAGAAAGCAATCCCATTATTAGAAACTGCATACTAATGTAGGGGTGGGTTAAGGGAGAGTGTGCGACGTCTCTTATATAGATAGGCGTTCATTTTCCACGTCTAAATGTATTTTTTTGCAACCAGACAATGAAAACAATTAGCGATAACCATCTAGCTGGCAGATTTTAGTCAAACAACTTATGTATACCAAACAGTTGTTTTGTATATACCTTGAACTATAGCAGAAATTATGTGTTACTTTATGGTGTCTAACAAGTTAAGCTATGGTGAAATTCAAATTTAAAGTACAGATAAAACTTAAATCAATACAACAGAGATTATGGATATTTTCGAATGAAACGCATCGTTCTTCAACTGCACAAAAATGTGAAACCAAAAACGCCACACCACACCACACCACGTAAGTATTTAAGATATGATTAACCTTCATCCTGACAAGCTAATTTATAAAAAAAATTTTAATGAACATTAGTTTGTTATATATAATCTGTCTCTTCAAAGCAGCTCGCCGGAAAATTAAAATCATATTCGCAATGAGTCTTTTTGAGCTACAGTATGGCGAAAATTAACTTCACATCTTAGAAATCGATGATCAATTTATAATGATATTGCCAATGATTACCCATGATGCAGAAGTAGGCCTATATGTTGAAGTCTTCATGTGTGAAGATTCCAATCAAATAAATAGAAAACGGTGACAGTAGAATATCAGATAATTTGATGTCTTGAGAAATAGACCACCATCGTTTGTCGACAGTTTGATATTAAAGTGAGATTATTTCCGATTCATATGTACAATAGAATTCGATGAAGATCCTTTATTCGTGGCTAAATCCCCAACTTAGTTTCAAAGATGCTTTACTACATATAAATAAGTGCAACCAGCGGTTGTAATGTACATGTACAATTGAATATAAAAATGCGAGAACACCAAATTGTCCCGTGGGGAAAGACACTGTCCAAAATGACAAAAACTGATCACGGTGTCATCTTCAAAAGTGGAAACCCGGGGTCCAACCTGACGGGCTAATTGAATAAATCCAAATCCCAAATTTAATTATATAACAATAAAGAAAGGGGCTTTATTCCGGTAAACACGACACTTAGCAATCTCATCCCTTGAGCGGTCCTGACTTCGCACCCATTACATTATTTAAGTGTTAATATATTCAGTTTTACTCCAGGGTGGGTTAGAAAACACGCCAACTAAAAGACATCATTACCAAATAGCCCTACCACTTTACCCGCAACTTAAAAAAAGTTTTGTCTCAACCACTTATTACTATAGCGTCCCCCTTGAGCGCTGAGTGATTAACGGTATGTCAAATTGTCGACTAGCATCCCCGGGGCCTCATTCTCTCCCCAAGGGAGGGTATAAATACTAATTAAAGGATATTTCCCTCTATGCATCATAGTTGCTATTGCCCTTGGTAGTTCCCATGCCCTTTCCCTTGTATTTCTGATGCACACTACGGGCAAAAATCGTGCAGAAGCCGGGCTTCCAGAGGCCGCCTATTACCGGGGAATTAGTCCGCTACGTTCTTGTCTTGTAATTAAAGAAAGTGGATTGCTTTTCTACGTCGACTTGCAAAGTCGATACCATTAATTGAAATAACTGTATCTCTTAATGTCAAGAAAATGAGGTTTGATTAAGGCGTTTGTTGTGTTTAAGTGTATTACCAACGTTGATTATGGACGATCATCTAGTATTATGAATTGGTTTGTAGGGGCTGATTAAACCGAGGTCGGGGAAAATAACTAGTCAACCTACAGGTCTTAATGTGGCTGGGACACGGACTTTTTCTCAGAAAAATATGAACAATTGCATTTATCTTAGAAATAATTTCTGATCGGAAAAAATTAACCATCAGATGTTTTGCATTAATAATAGGATAGGAATAATTGCATTTATCTTAGAAATAATTTCTGAAAGGAAAAAAATTAACCATCAGATGTTTTGCATTAATAATAGGATAGCAATAATTGCCATAAAATTATTATGACTACATTGCCCGTGAAGGGTATGTTTTTGTATGTGTATGAGATAGAGTTACTGGAAAAAATGTAAAATACAAGTTGAGGCGGAATCCCTAGATTCTTGTGTGTGCATTTATGTGTGCGTGCGTGTGTGTGTGTGTGTGTGTGTGTGTGTGTGTGAGAGAGAGAGAGAGAGAGAGAGAGAGAGAGAGTTTTAGATTTCGAACACGCTCAATGTTATTGTTATTATTTTTTTTAGTTTATCATCATGCGCTCGCGCTCTTGTAGTTGAATACAAATTGTTGTAGGGGCGTAGACGCCATAAGTCTATGGATCACTTAAAACATCGATATATCTTGAACTGCTTAAATGATATTGTTTCCGAGAGCTAACATTTCTGTATCAAATCCCGAGTTTATAAATATTGCTTTAAGCTGAAATTCGCCACATGGTATCTGTCTCAATGCTATCTTATTTCTTTTGTTTTTTCTTTAACTAAATATATTGGTATCCTTTGCAATGACGAGATATGGGGGATACATAACCCTTCTTTTAGCTTCTCATATGATTAGTACAGGTAAGGGTTAGTTGCAGTACTGGGATTAGTATTTCGGACGAATGTCACCTGTACAAAGAAATGGGGAGCGGACTGCGGTTCCTAGCGGACTTCCATTCCTGTTACACCGGTATACTTGTATTTCACAACGCACCACCAATGTGCAATATAATCATAAATATATAATCAAGTATATCAGGTTGTATAACTTTGCACTGCTAACATCCTCTACGTGATTAAATCAACTTCTGCTATCCAACACCTACATTATACCGTAGAATATGTTTACCCTACCAATTGTCTATTATAGCTAGATAAAAAGGTTTTCTTCAAAATGTCCAATCACCCAGTCTCCTCTCCAATTGCAAAAAAAAAAAAAAATAAAATAA